TCGAGAACCCTGTGGCCAGCTGCGCCTTTGTCACCTGCACAACAGCAGAATCAGTTGCTGCTCCATCCATGTCCACAAGCCACAGCGGCCGGGCATCAAGAAGACTTCAAGAGAAGCCTACTACTGCCGTTGTCTGCCTAACGAACCCGGCGGCACTGACTGCTAATGCAGCACCATTCAAGTGGGAACACAAACTGCAGGAGCACAGACTTGCCTGCATAGAACCCAAAACGCATGGTCAACCTAGCATAAGTGTGGCCTTCAGTATATGGCACATGCTACGATGCAGCTAGGTAATCGATATCTTGTACTGTGGCTGGGTTTGCAGGGAAGATGAATGGCAGAAGATCTATCACGCTATTCTTGGCACTGAAATGGGCAACGGGATTTTGCCGGTTAGACTGTCATTGGCACCTGTGTTCTTGATGGCCGTTTTGGGCTACATCCTTTTATAGGCTGTTTGTAGCGCGCAGGCACCACAATGGTGCGGGCTAGTGTCCTAGAGATGATAGTTAGCTAGCGACCTACAAGGGTTTGCAACACTGGAGGAGGACAGGACCATTCCAATAGGATTAAAATAAGAAAAACTGTCTATTGGTTCTAATGAATACGTTAAATGCGTGGAAATTGTGTGGTGACTGGGGCTGGCGATAGCGCCGGCGCCAGTGCGGGCCTCCTTCCCATAGGGCCTAGGAGGCGAGCTCCCAGAGTGGGGCGAATCGAACAGACAGGTTTGAAACACTTAAGAACTGTTGTATTTCGATGGAATAAAGGTATAGTGTCCGAGACGTGAGGCTACGTTAGACGTAGTTTCTGGGCCTGCTCGAGGGTCAGGAAGCAGCGTAGTCGCAGCAGTAGGCGCCGCGCACTACACTGTTTGGGTCGCTGCGCAGGATGCGGATAATGGACAAACATGCCGTTGTCCTTTTTATCTAATAAATAGTCCATCATGTGATTCCAAGAGGATTTTTACGGTTTTTTATCGGTTGTTTCCAAGAAAAAAGAATATTGACTTTTTTCTATATCCCTTGCAGAGGGTTGCCACACACAGATCGAAGCGCACGCCGTTTGGCGTCAGGTGGCACTTTCGATATTCTCCAAATATATTTCTGCAAGAACTCTTTAGCTTCTCCCGGATTGCTGTCGGTGCTCTCCCTGTCTAGGTATGTAGCCGTATCGGTGATGTAATGGCGGTTTATGTCATGGCTTCCTGTTTTGGCATGTTGAACCTTATCGTACTGGCTCACCTCAGTAGATTCCTCCAAAAGAGCTGCTTATCGGAGCACGCTTTTATATTCTTATTGTTCAAGGACAGGTTTGAATGAGACGCGGTCTAGGCATTTTTAATGTGGTCCTGTAGTGAAAGACCATGTGTCATATGTCTCATACAACGTGGCCTTGCTATGGTAGTTTGCAGGAGACGAACTCGAACAGTAATTCCTGTGTCAGCCAACGTATTCTTTCCCATTTTGTTCGCTACTAGGGGTTCGCTTCTAGATAGTCTATAGAGAACATCTGCCCAGTCATGTGTTTAAACTCCTAACTGGAGAAATGCTCACTTGATCTTTAACGCACTGTTGAACACTAGTCTTATGTTGCGATGCTTTCACTTCTTAATGTATAATTAAATAGAAGCGCTCACTTTGACCAGGCTAGCATAGTAAAGGAGGTTTTGCGGGAAAAGTTTGATTTGCATTGAGTGCCCCGTTGCAGGTGTTTAAGTTCTCGAGTGCTGCGGCAACGCAGAACAGAACCTGTAGGGCACGCGGCGGAGGTTATGACAGGTAGAGGCCCGTAGAAGTTGCTAGCATTGGCCGATAATTTTTCTTTTATATCGGCCTGAACGATGGTGAAAAAACGGAAAAAAGAGGGAAGATAAGCGCCAACAACTAGCGCAGCCTCACAAGCCTGCCCCGAGGTGTCCCCTGCGTGACCACCCGCCGGCATACAGCATTTCACCAACTGCCTCAGGAAATCTTTTCCTTAATTCGTTCTTTGTGTGTCATGCTTTTGCCAAAGATGCTTCGTCTCGCTCTTGCTCCACTCGTCGCTGTGTTTGTCTTCTGCGAACACAAGACAGCAAGTGCCAGCACGACAGCAGAAGCACGTAAGCAACTTTTTCCGGTCTTTTCTTCGTTTCAAGGCAGAAATTATGTTATTACACACTGGAATCTTCCTTTTCTCAAAATACTGCTGTGTGTACTTGAGGTTTCTCTCAGAAACGCTCAGTTGTTTGACTGAGATGAACGAGGCAAGGACTGCCGCAGGACTACCTGCGTTTGGGGAGGCATCCGGTGATACAAAAGTGCTCCCACCAAGCTCCATTTCGGGAAGACAAGTAGACGCTGCTGCTTTTTGGACAGAAATATGCAAAGAAATAAAGGGGGTTAGTCTTGTCACAGCCAAACTGCTGTCGCTGGTGCCGTCAGCCAGTTAGTTAGTGAACATCTTGCAGAATACAGCGCATGTAGCCAGAGACGCCGCCGTTTTTTTTTGCTCTTTCTTCTATTCTGTGAAGGAAACCGGCGAGACCCCTGAAGCTAAAAAACTAGAGGGGACCTTTGCATACTACGCCGGCAAGAAGGACTGCAAAGCGGCGGTGCAGCACTGGAAAGACAGCTTTTCTCTCTTCAATAACGAGATCCCCCCAAAGTACAAGGGTTTGAATGACCCTGAAGTGTATGATAGCAGGGCTGTCTCCTTTGTCGCTCTCTATAACCCCAAGGCGAATCCTATTGCCAGCTGCGCCTTTGTCACCTGCACAACTGCAGACACATATTCTGCTGGGAGGACCTCTACAAGCCACAGCAGCCCGACATTAAGAAGACTTCAAGATGAAAATCAAAATGCTACTGCAGTTATATGCTTAACGAACCCGGTGGCACTGACTGCTGAAGAAGCGCCATTCACGTGGGAACATCACCACGGGCTTGCCTACATACGAACCAAAGCGCAGTTGCAATCTAGCATAAGTATGGCCTTCGTTTAATACGCTTGTGTCCATGCAGCTAAGTGATAAATACCTACTGTGGCTGCATTTGCAGGGAGGATGAATGGCAAAAGATCGTTCACTCTATAGTTGGTACTGAAGAGGGCAACGGAGTTTCGCCGATCAGACCGTCATTGGCACTTGGGTTCATGATAGCAATTTTCGTCTATGGTCTTTTATAGGCTGTTCGTCGCTGCGCAAGATGCGGGCAGTGGACAGACATGTGATTGCCTGTTTTATCGAACAAATAATGCAGCATGCGGGACAAAAGATATTCTCATGGCGTTTTATCCTTTGCATAGGAAAGTGCGGAATACTACCCTTATTTTATTTTGTCCAGAAGTTTGCCACGGTTAGGTGTGGTAAATGCTCGTCATGTGCTGCCAGGTCCCATTTTCGATATTTCCCATGCATATTTATGCCTAGAAATCCGTAGTATCCTCCGGTGTATCGCCAGTGTTGTGCCTGTCGAAGTGTGCATCCATATGGGTGGCGTAATGTTGGTGTTTACCATGGCGGCCTGTCTGGGCAGCTTGAGCCTCTCCATACACTTCGAGGTGATAATCCAAATCGACAAGCTGGCGTCATGGCGCGTTTTCGCGTCTCTAGTGGTCAAAGAAGCACTTAAATGTAAACCGTTGATGCATGGAATGCAAAGTAGGCATTCAGAGTCTATTACCGCGGAGAAGTATTCTGTTACCGCTGTCACACACCGAGCCGACATGATGCCGCTACTAATGCTTTAAAGGGAACGACTCGATACACGCTTTCTTTGCCCCCCCCTTCTTCTGCCTTTCCTATATTGTTAGGCGAAAGTACACCTGTATACATAGGTTGTAGTGAACATCGTGAAGATATGTGTAGAAACGTCCTTGTGTGTACCATATTGCTGCTAAGTATTTACGTCCTTGGATGTTTCCTGCTCACTGACGTATCATTTCAAAGGAGCACACTAGTAGAGCAGGGCAGCCTAGCAACAGGTTTTCCAAGAGGAAATCTTGTTTCTGTTGGGCGTATTCTTGGTGGTGTAGATCTTTCCAGGTGTTGCAGTGCCCTAGAACTACAGAGCCTTCAAGGCACGCAGTGGATACTACGAAAGTAGTGACTAGTTTTTATAGCTTCCAAATCTAGACAATGTTTCATTGTTTAATTTGGATTCTAGTGAAAAAGGAATTAAAGGAGGAAATGAATGCGTCAGCAATCAAGACCAGCCGCACCAAGCAGGTCTGGACCACTAACGATTCCTCGAGTCGAGATGGAAACAAAATGTCGGCCAACCGTTTGCAGGAAATACATATTCTATTGTTTTTTTCTAGATGTTTTGTACCAACAAAGATGCTTCTCCTCTCTCTTAGTTCTCTTTTAGTATAGTCGCCTTTTTGTCTGTGTTCTGCGCCCACAGCACAGAAAGTGCTACCTCGGCTACCAGCACGTAAGCACATTACTCTTTTTTCTGCCTTTTTGAGGCAGCATCTTGCATTGCAGACTGAGAGTTGCTTTTTCCCACAATTTTTTTCTGTGGTGAAGCTTCTTCTCAGCTAAGTGAGGTGTGGACGGCCGCGGGCTCCCTGAGTTTGGCGAGGCAACTAAAAAAGAACAAACACCGCCCGCTAACTCTAATGTGGGAACAGTGCACGTTGCCGGAACTTTATGGAATGAAGCGAGCAAGAAAAAAAAGGATAAAGCTGCGTCGCAAGCGCACTGCAATCCCAATCGACAGTTCTTGCACACGGCCGATCAGCACGCATCTTGCTGACTACGGCGAATGTGGCAAGAGCTGCTACGTTGCAAAGCAGCAGCGCAGCACTGGAAAGACGGCTTTTCTCTCTTCAATAACGAGGTCTCGGCAAAGTACCAGGCGTTGGAAAGCCCGACGGTTTATGACAACAACGCTGTCTCCTTTGTCACCCTCTATAACCCCAAGGCGAACCCTGTAGCCAGCTGTGCCTTTGTGTTGTCAGCTGCACAGCAGTAGACACGTTTGCTGCTCCATCCATTTCTAAAGGCGACTACGGCTGGACATTAAGGCGACTACGGCTGGACATTAAGAAGACTCCAAGACGGAGAGAAACCTACTACTGCCTTTATCTGCTTGGCGTATCCTGTGGCACTGACTGCTAATGAAACGTCATTCAAGTGGGAACACACGCTGCAGGACCACGGAATTGCATCCATACGACCCAGAAGACAGCTAATGCTAGCACAACCTAAACACAAGTTAAGCACATTATCATCATGAACCAGCAAAACTTCCGGTATTCCAGATTGGAGCTTCCTTTTACTACAGTCCTCTTATGTGTGTTGAAGTTTCAGCTGAGAAACGCTCAATTCCTTAACCAAAATGAATCAGCCAAGGACAGCTGCGGGTCTTGCTGCGTCTGAAGAGGCGACCGATGAATCATAAATGCTGCCGAAACATCTTTGTGCTGGAAGAGAGACAGCAGCTGATACTTTATAAAGCGGAATCTGGTATGAAATAAAGAGGGGTAAGTCCTTTCTCAAGTGCGCTTCTCTCGGGAATTTTGGCACACACTTGGGGACGTGTAACGACAGATGCCTCACGTGTTCTATTTTTCGTTCTATTGCCCGAACACTAACGAAAGCAGCAATGAAGTCAAAACATTGGAGGGAGCGCACGCATACTACGCCGGCTCGAAAGACTGCAAAGGCACAGTGCAGTATTAAAAACGATGCTTCTCTCCCTTCAGTAACAGACTGTCTCCAAAGTTCCACACATTGAGCGGCTCTAAAGCGTATACCGACAGAGCCGTTTCCTTTGTCGCCCCTAAGGCGAGCCCAAGCTTTTAGCAAGCTGAGCCGTTGTCACGTGCACAACTGCAGGCGCATTTGCTGCCTTGTCAAGAAGCCACGACAGTTCCTCATTAGGGATCTTCAAGTTGAGGAGAAAACTACTGCAGATAACGATCTGCTTGACAAACCCAGAGGTACTGACCGCCAGAGAGCAGCCATTCAAGTGAAAACACACCCCAGGGCCACAGAATTGACTGCATAAGATCCAAACTGCATCGCAAACAGCAAAAGTGCGGCTTCATGTGTATCGCTTGCTCCCATCTAGGCAAGTGATCAACAGCTTGTCCAGCGGTTGAATTTTATGAGAAGATGAATGGCAGAAAACTGTTCACGCTGTAGCTTGTCCTGACGAGGGAAAGAGGTTTTCCTCATTCAGACCTTCATTAGCAGTTGCGTTCATAGTGACAATTTCGGCTGATGGTCTTCTTTAAGTTGTTCGTGTCTATGCAGAGTGCAGGCACTGGAAAAACTTACCGTCGGCCATCTCATGGAGCATATAATCAGGCATGTGAGACCAAGAGGGCATTTCTAATGCTCTATAAAATGCACTGAAGAATGCGGAAGATGAACCTTTTCTAGCCCCTGCAGAGCGATGCCACGAGCAGGTGCTGAGGATATTCACCGTTAGCTGTCGGGTGCCATTTTCGATATTATCCAAGTGCATTTGTGCCTGCGAGTCCATAATATCTTCCGAACGGGTGTCGATCCTGTGTCTCTCTTCAGGTGTGTGTCACCGTATTGGTGACGTACTGGCGGCATATGTCATGCGTCCCTGTTCCGGAAGGTTGAATGTCCTGATACTAGGTCTCTGTAAATGGTTTTACTGTAACTGCATATTTTTGTACGTACATTGGTCAAGAAAATATCTAAACAGAGCTTATTGGAGACATTTTCGATGTGGTGCTGTGGAGAAGCATCTTGTCGTTGCCCGACGCATTTAGACCCATGCTGTTGCCAGCATTGTTTGAAGGGGAGAAATTGACCTATAACTTCTGTCCTTCTCACCTCCTTCTTTCTTTTCTTGCTCAACCAAGGGATTCTTTGAGGATGCAGGTTGTAGATAAGGTGTGATTAGAGGTTATGTAAGTGAATTTGAACCGGTTGTTGTGTAACGCCTTGAAAATTTTTTGTGAGTTGCCATGTATTTTGCCATGTGATACGTCACTTCGTAAGCACACACAAGTAGAGCAGGCCAGCCTAGAGAAAGGTGGCTAAAACGGATAATTATCTTCGCGCCGTACACACAGTTGGCTATGTGGATCTCTGGTGGCAATCGGTGAACTCAGAACAAGAGTACCGGGGACACGGGATGGTGATCATGGAAGCCACAAATTCATGTGTAGCACAGTTACTCGCATTGCCACATACTTCTACTATTTCAAAGTAAGTCATGGCGAAAAAGAGTTGAAGGAGGAAGAAATGATCCCAACAGTATATGCAACTCCGCCGACGTGGCCCACAGACGTCCCTTGGTTGA